GAATTAGCAGTAAAATGGTGAATATGATAAAAGCAATATATGAAAAAGTATGGTGAATATGATAAAAGCAATATATGAAAAAGTTTCGTCATGTGTTAAAAATGCTTGTAAATTTTCAGACTTTTTCGATATATCAATTGGATTGAAACAAGGAGAGCCACTTTCACCGATAATGTTTATACTCTTCTTAAATGATGTATGCAAAAACATTAACCTTAATAGTTTATCAGACTATGATCTTAACCAATTATGTGTATTTATGTTGCTTTTTGCAGATGATATGGTTGTATTTTATACCGATCCTAATACTTTACAGAATCACCTTAACTATGTATATGAATATTCCAACAATGGGGTCTTTAAGATCAATATAAAGAAGACCAAAATTTGTATTTTTGAAAAACGTAAATCTCGAGAGCAAAGACAATTTTACATTGATGATAATGTTATTGATATTGTAGACAATTTCTGTTATCTAGGAGTGACTTTTGTTTCAAATGGTAACATTGCTAAAAACAGCAAAAATTTCTTTCTGATCAGGCTTTAAAGGCAATGTATAATTTGTTAAGTCTTTTTTACAAGAATACATGTCGATATTATAAACGAAACTTAAATTGTTTGATTCCCTAGTTGCACCAATTTTGCTTTATTCTGCGGAAGTTTGGGGAATATATTGTCCTAAGAGGTTGATAAAATTCACATAAAATTTTGCAAAACCATATTAGGTGTGAAATCGCAGACTCCAAATTACTCTGTTTTAGGTGAATTAGGGAGATTCCCCTTATCAGTTATTTGCCAAGAAAAATCTCTAAAATATTACACTAAATTAAAATCAAATCCAGAGTCATTAATGTGTAAGTTATTCTCTACTGAGTGTAATAGTAATAATGATCAAAATTGGGCTCTCTCTGTAAAAAAACTATTGTATAATCTTGGTTTAAATGATATATGGGATAATTTTAATAAAGCTATAAACTATTTTTCTACTTTGTCACGAAGATTGAGAGATCAATTTATCCAACATTGGCATACGACAATCAATAATTTGCCGAAATTATCTTATTATGTTCAATTTAAAACGGTATTTGAATCAGAGGAATATCTTAACAAAATAAAAAGTGACAAATTAGTGAAACTGTTTGCATCCTTTAGGTTAAGCAGTCATAATCTAGCTATAGAAACCGGCCGGTATCGAGGTATAGATAGACAGAATAGATTCTGTGAAAATTGTACAATGCATGTTGTTGAAAGTGAATACCTATTTCTTTTAATCTGTACTCATTATTCTGAAATTCGCAAAAAATATTTTCCAAACACAGCATGGCCATCTTTACCTAAATTTTATAGTTTAATGTCAAGTAGAAAACAGTCAACTTTACTAAATGTATCGAAATTTTTAAATGAAGCATTTTTGAAAAGAAATGAAATTAATATGTAAGTTAATGCATGTCATATACTTTACTGTTTCTCCAAATCAGCTTCGCAATGATGTAACAATTGTATAACAATTTTATGTAATTTGATGCATGTGTGATTTGTATATATATTGTAGTTTGTTAACCTTTGCCAGAGGCATTTTGTATGCTGATTATTGCAAATAAAATATTGAATATTGTTATTAACAATACAAAAATGTAATGAACACGTTGATTTAAATAAATTCATTGCATCAACATTTGATCATTTTGAACGTTTGCATGCATCGAATACTTTTGGGAAATCAAACTTTAGTAATGTATATCAACAATAAGCAGTAATATATTTAGTTTGTATCTGTGTCTGTATTAATAAAACGTGTGTACACTGTCTGATACATATTCTACTTCCTTTATTACACCATTACCGATATGTCAATATTGACAAACAGGGAACATAACCGCCGAATTCTTAACTTTCCTACTCGCTTGTTATCGATCCTGACCAATATAGTTGCAGCATTTTAAATCTAATTTTGGTCCTATAATTTTCAAGATCGCCGTGACCTGCACATTTAATTTAGTTGCGGATTGGCAAGTACAACAGCTTTGAGGCTTTCCGTTATGTCAAAATTAAACATAATAATTATCATGGCCGCGGTTTCGACTCTACCGGATTTTTTTTAAAGGATACCAATTTTGAACGTGACCTAACAATTGGTTCGATTTCTTTGCTAACTATCGAGTACAACAGAGTGAAGGAAGCTCATTGCAGCAAAAATAACACACTATGTCTAGGTGCAAGAAATATGAACGAAAGACTTGTCAAAGAAACACTATATTTATACATTGCTAGAGTACTTTAACTACTTACTTGGACAAAGACATGGCACAAGATAAAAAAAAACAACAACAAGAAAACAAGAAAAAAAAGAAAGAAAAAGAACAACAACAAAAAAACATTATCTAACGTCGGTTCATATAATTATGACAAAGAAACAATTTACGAACAAAGATCTTAAAAAAGTATATGTATAACAAAATAAAAGAGTTATTCATATTTAAGATCCTTGCATATATCATTAAATAAATAAATTGAAATCTTGAACTATGTACGTTGAAACGTAAATTCGTAAAGACGATCCCGGGAATTCAAGAAGATGAAATGTCAACACCGGTCTTTCGTACGATTCTAATGATATTGTTTTAGTTTTAGGAAACAGTCTGCTAATTTACAAATAAATCACAAAGAATTATGCCTACAGATAATGTATTAAAACAATTAAGTCTAAAAAAACTTCATAAAATAGAAAGACTACTAGTATATGCCTAGGGATGATCGATTAAACAAACTAATAATGAATTATTTATTAATTATGGTAATAAACAACCCGAACTAGTCTTGTGATAGATAGATGATTTTCAGGAAAAAGTTGTATGGCCATTGTCAATATTGACAAACAGGGGACATAACCGCCGTCTAAACTTTCCTACTCGCTTGTTATCGACCCTGACTAATATAGTTGCAGCATTTTATCGAAGAAATAAGTGTCATATTTTTTAAGATAGCCGTGACCTGCACTTTTAATTTAGTTGCGGATTGGCAAGTACAACAGCTTTGAGGCTCTCCGTTATGTCAATATTATATTAATATTAAATATTTCAAGGATACCAATTTTGAACGTGGCCTATTAATCGGTTCGATTTCTTTGCTAAATCTCGAGTACAACAGAGTGTAGGAAGCTCATCGCAGCAAAAATAAGACACTTTGTGTAGGTGCAAGAAATATGAACGAACAACTTGTCAAAGAAACACTATATTTATACATTGCTGGAGCACTGTAACTAGAGACATGGCACAAGATAAAAAAACAACACGAAAACAAGAAAAAACAGAAAAAACAACAACAACAAAAAAAACATTATCTAACGTCGGTTCATATAATTATGACAAAGAAACAATTTACCAACAAAGATCTGAAAAAAGTATATGTATAACAAAATAAAAGAGTTATTCATATTTAAGATGCTTGCATATATCATAAATCATTACAAATATGAGTATTAATATCTGATTAAACTCTATATCTAAGATTTTACTTTTTGATTTTTGAAATCACTAAATTATTCGACAATAAAACGACAATGTGTCATCGCATCACACGCCGCGAGGAGTGCGCCTTTTGTTGTGTTTCGCTAGCGACAGGACGACAAATAAATATATTCATATAAATATGTTCATGAATCAGGAATTTAAAAAATGTATTTTAATATTCACCAGGCAAGTAGAAAATTATATCCTATTAGTTATTAACCTATGTAGTCAGGGCAGCAAGATTCATGCTTATTTAAATTAAAATTTTAAAAATGTATTAAAAAGTTAAACATTGTGAAGTGAGCAAAAAAAAGTGTTATTTTTTTTTTTGGTCGTTTTTATCACATTGCAAAAGGCACTTGCAGTCCGCGAAAATTACCACAAAAGAGGTCAAAATATGCAAAAATACCACACTGCGCAAGTAACATTGTAGAAATATGGTGCTAAATACTTCAAAAGCAGTCATTTATCGGACAAAACATGTAAACAATTCCTTTAAATCTTGCGTCACTAAAAAAGTAAGCATGAAAAATGACGCACCAAACGCGATGCCTGATTCGTTCAATTAAAGTTTTGGGTCGGGATTTTCACTTTTCTTTTTGGAATTTTACATGTGCAGAGTAACCATTCAAATCACTTAATATAATATGATTTTTTTTAAAGTTTGGAACTTTCATAAAACGATACTGATAGACGTGAATAAAACTTTTGTTCGTTTCCTATATCTTGTTGTTTACTTGTTCCGTGCAAGATGACTCCTTTTCAAACGGGGGTTCACTGTCATTCGAACTGTACGAATATTTACATCCGTTCTCACATGTAGTGCCGCCATTATCACATGCCGGTAAATATGACCTTAGGGGGCAGGGGACATATTCGAATGATGGCCCCGGTCAAATTTTTTAATAACTCAGACATGGTGTTTTGAAGGTACTGATAACTTCTGATATTTCTCTGTCATTGTAATTCTTTCTTGTTTGTGTGTAGAAAATGAGATATATTTTTGGGTTTTTACCCGAAACTAAGCATTTTGGTAGCTTTGTATGTATTTCTGACTCTCCGAATGGAGGTGAAAAAGTTAAAAATCAAGCTTTGACAGTTGGCGCCAAACAAGTAAGAAACTTCAGATAAATTTTGTGAAAAATCTAAACGTATGACAGACACTTTATTTGTCATTTCTGAAAATGCCATAGCTTGCACTGCGTGTTACTGATATTTTTAAAGGAATCGGGCGGATTCTGGAGTATGCTGCACCTTCATGAAGATTGCCTATATTGGTATATTTTAGGTGTGATTTTGGCTGGGTGGGGGTAAATATAAATTGCTGTCAGTCATTTTTTGAAGGAGCAATGCATGCAAACTATTATTTTCTTCAATGTATGTCATATATCATTGAATAATGCTGTGCAACTGGTTATCTGCCTGTGAAACAGATTTTGAAATATTTGGAATTGTGTTTCTGGTCACACTGAAATACAAAATTTTTCATTTTTAGGTCCCCTGCCCCCTTATTCCAGACGGTGCTATGGCAGTTTCCCCCACGGACGATAGTGCAACAGCGTTGTCAACAGAGTGCGCTGCGCTCAAGTTGTCGTCCGTAACCATCGTGTTTTTGTTCCCGTCGTCTTCGTTACATTTGTCTCTCCGTCTCATTATTAAGTAGATAGCTAGATTCAAACATCCTCCAAGGTTTACTAACGTGGTCTCAATGTTAATGAAGAAAAGGGGCACGTTAATATCAATTAACAGCCACACGCTAAATACAGCACACGACCACCATTGTATAAAGAATGCCAAAACGAACAACGACATGTTCCTGGCTGCTCGCCGTGATTTATCCGTCACATTTGAATTCTTCAACGACTGGGATATTCCGGAAACTTGTTCTTTAATACGTTTCCATGTCAACAAGTATAAAACACTGTTAACAATAAAAATGAGAACAGTTGGAACGGTTGTGAACAGGATGAAAGCTACACTTCCGGTAATGGCGTCAAACTGGCAGCTGTAAAAAAAGAGTAAAAATTGACATGTTTATAATCAACTGTACAAGAAAATTGTACCACTTTGTATGAGTATGTTAGTTACCCCGATGTTCGTATCGCTGTGACACAAGGAATGGTTTCTCTGTTTGTTTGGATTGGTTGTACGGCGCACCAACACAATTTAGGTCAAATGGCGCCGGAAACAGGAAAGATGATTTTTGCTGTTTCACCGGTACAATACCAATGGTGTATACAAGTTTTACAAGGTGCCTTCTATTTTACCGATGCTATTCCAATAGCTTCCGCAAATGTATTCATATAATGCACATTTCGTTTAATTTTAAAAAGATGCAGATATGACGAAAATGTTAAAGGTCAAGGGCCTTAACCATGCAATCGGTGTTTTGACTTGAGAAAACTCCGATATGAGTAGTGCAATAAAGTCATATAGTTTTATGAATATCTAAAACACCTGTTTTATCAAAATTTTATATACCAATTACTCGAATTTATCGGTGTAATTTGCATATATATTTCAATAAATAAGTCTACAAAACTTCAAATTTTTGGAAATGAATTGATTAAATAAGAACAATGGTGCACGTACTGTGAAAAAAGTGGTACTCGTTCTATCCTTAAAACATTAAACGTGGCAGTATGGACATAAATAATTGATTAAAATGGTAAAAAAAACCTTCAAAACAACAATTTAATTGACACAGAAAAAAAACTTACAAAGTTCCGTTTGGTCCGAGCTGTCCCGTAAAAGCAGCGGCAATGGCGGCAACAAAAGGTAAACCAAATGTCCACGCCAATAGTTTCCAATCATATCTTCCAAAGTTTAAGTTCTTGTTGAAAAACATCATAATAAACGCATTTATTGCGACAACATTCACTAAAAGATTTTGTGCTGTAATAAATTCTGTCAATAGAAAGCCATAAAACTCGCACAATATCTTAGGTCGAATGTGATCCTTAGTTGTGAGGTAATGCAAATGGTCAAGGCCGTGAAAAATATTAAATCCACCGTCGCAAATAGCAAAATAAATAATAAATCGTGCACGTTTTGCCCAAGAAAAGAACTTCCTGAAATTCTTGTGAGAATATGACAAAACCATGACGATGATTACGCAACAAAGACTTAAAGAAATACATGTCAGAGCTGGGATATGAATCCGGTAAAATGATCCATTTGACAAACCGTACACCGGTAAGTCGTAACCGCTCCTTGGAACACCGATGTCCGTATTATTAATGGAAACCTCCGTTGTATTATTCATGTTTCTTTAAGTATCTAGTGTATAAGAGTCTGTTTTAGAAGTCATTTAAAATCGATTAGGATTCTTTTCTAAATCTAGATCTTCCAAGCAAGGCTTAAAACTTGCCCGTGTATTAATTCCGTAATGTTCTATTTCATCTGAAGATAAAGAAATAATCTCACAGAAAAACAAAAAATTTAGCAAATTATTTTGTAAAAACAAAGCACTGTTAATCTATAATCGGATGTTCAAAGATGGTTCCCGGTTATTGTACTTCGTTTTATAATTTTACTGGAATATAGTTCTACTTTATATAGCTCACAGTGCAGCAAAAATCACTGCAACCCCAAATTTTATAAAATTCTTCATTCCAAAAATAAGTCGATTCCAAATATTATAAAAAGAGGATATTTTTTCGTTTGCCTCGTGAAAATGTGTGGCATTTTATCATGTTTCGTGAAAATATTTTCCATATTTCACGGAAAACGAAAAACGAAAACTTAACCTTTTTATTTAATTTCATTATCAAAGAAAATGGTAACGAATCCCCTTACTTGCTACCAACTGCAATTGTACAACGCGCAGTAATTTATGCGTAAGCACGCGCTGTTTGGCGCTACATTGTGACTTCATGTAAACAACTCTTTAAACGTTTGTACAGCGTTAATTACTGAATTAAAGATATTGACGTTCGGATAAATTTTCTTAGACCATTTTATATCATGCTAGATAGTTTTCAAAACAAAATTCAAGAAAAACGGCGAAAGAAGTCCCTTAAAATAAATATCAGTTTTGACTCCGCCCACTTTCATATTTATATTTCATATTTATTTTTAAAAAATATGAAATATATTTGAGTGATATAGCACCATATATCATGGGTAAAATTAAATAATAAGAGGATATTTTTTCGTTTGAGTGAAATATGGAATATATTTTCACGAAACATGATAAAATGCAACATATTTTCACGAGCCGGGACGGCGAGTGAAAATATGTGGCATTTTATTATGTTGAGTGAAATATATAACATATTTCACGAAAATCGAAAAAATAACCTTTTTATTTAATTTCATTATCAAATAAAAAATGGTTAGAAACCCCATTGCTTGCTACGCAACTGCAAATATACAGCGCGCAGTAATATAATTGGCGTCCGCGCCGAAGCGCGGCGCCCCTTATGGAATGAAATCAGATTTTGTGAAAGGGCGAAAGCAACTTCTCGAGCCTTTTAGTCGGTCATAATAAAAGCCGATCATTCCGATCGGTATGAGGGTGCTTGATTATTATTAATTAAAAATGAAATGTCGCGATATGTACAATGAATAGCGAACTGGAGAATTTCGCAATGCAAACATTTTCAAATGATATAACCTTTTCCGTCTCTTCGGGATTTTTTTTATTTATCATTTTGTAGTACACAGTGGGTTATTATGGTATGTTAAAATAGAAACATTCCGAAAATCTATTTATAGAGGGATGTACTTCTATCGGTAATTCCCGGTCTCTCCCGGTCTATTTTGACCGGGATTTACTAGTGACCGGTGAAAAGTATCACACGTTTATTGTCCGGTCTCTCCCTGTTTTGGAGTAGATGTTTGATATCGTTACAGAACAGAACAAATATTTTACAGATAAATAAGCTTTTTTTCCAAAATGAATGTTTGTCAGTTAGTTTGGTTAAAATAATTAATAAACATAGATCAACTCTCAAATTTATTGATTATTATTATAGATCTACATAAACATACAATTCGAAAAAACCCAACAACAACATCAACAACGATAGCATGTTTCATTTTAACTATATGAGATAAAAACAATAAATATGTACAATAATTGAGAAAAAGGTACATTTTCATGGTATTAATATGACACTATCAACTTTGAAACATTTTATTTCATTTGTTATTCGTGTTTAGTAAAGATGCCGAGGAATTATTCAAAGTTACAAATTAGATTATGAATTATTCAATTGATTGATAATTTAAAAAATGAAAAAGAAAAATAAATTCCACAAGTGTGGTGTTGATCATGCGTTACACATATGGATTATAAATGATTGTATACATGTATATCCGTTGCTATTAATAATCACGATCATAAAGAAATAGCAAGTAATATTCTAATCTCTAGCATGCCAATCAAAGTTCATAATGAACAATGTTTTTCGTCCGTTCATTCTGGTAAAAACCAATTAACCATTGAAAAGTTTATAAGAATATCTTGTCATTATATGTCTACTAGTTCATCTTCACTTTCTGCATTTCTTGCTTGGACGCCCTTTGATGCTTTGTATCAATGCTTTTCTTGTTATTGTCTTGTTTTGCACGTGATATTTAGCGCTACATTGCGACGTCACGTAAACAACTCTTTAAACGTCTGTACAGCGTTAATGACTGAATTAAAGATATTGGTGTTCGGATTTATTTTTTTAGTTAGACCATTTTCTATCATTCTAGATAGTTTTCAAAACAAAATTCAGCAAAAAGTTGTTTTGTTTTTATCAGATTTTTCAAACAAAATGGCGAAAGAAGTCCCTCAAATAAATATGAGTTTTGACTCCGCCCACTTTCATATTTATATTTCATATTTATTTTTAAAAAATTTGAAATATATTTGACTGATATAACACCATATTTCACGGGTAAAATTAAATAATGTTTATATATTTATTTATCACACACCCGTGCCGATTTTGCGACTCCGTAAATATGGTATTGCACGGCCGTGCATATATTTTGACGTGACGTCATTAGCGTTAACAAACATAGTGTAAAGACGCGCTAAATGATAGCGTTTACTATGGGCGCGTCAATGAAAAATGACTCTTATTTTACTTTAAACGGTCTTTATTTTGGATATGTGATAAATAATATTAAATTCGTGTAAGTTCATTACTGAATTTATTGCACTCGTTGAGCCAGAGGCTCGCATAATATAATTTTATTCAACTCGTGCAATAAATTCAGTATTGAACTTACACTCATTCAATATCCTCTATTTATTGAACTCGTTGAATAAAATAATATTATGCTCGCCAGAGGCTCGCATTATATAATTTTATTCAACTCGTTTAATAAATTCAGTATTAAACTTACACTTATTCAATATCCCCTATTTATTTATTTATTTATTATTATTATTACATGTATTATTATTATTTAACGTTTTGTAAATTCACAGGGTTGAATGAATTTTGATATTATGTGAAAATGATTATTGGTCCTGCTGGAATTTAAAATCTGCCATTAGCTTCAATCATAATAAAAGTATTAACTTTGAAATATATATGAGTCGCGTCACGACAAAACCATCATAGTGGGTTTGCGACCAGCATGGATCCAGACCAGCCTGCACATCCGCGCAGTCTGATCAGGATCCATGCTGTTCGCTTACCAACTCAAGTGGAGAAACTGACAGCGAACAGCATGGATCCTGATCAGACAGCGCGGATGCGCAGGCTGGTCTGGATTCATGCTGGTCGCAAACCCATTATGTTGGTTTTGTCGTGACGCGGCTCATATGAACATTTAGGCACTTGTGTGAACCCGATTCTACGAAAGTATGATGTGGACATTCACAAAGAATTATGCCTACAGATAATGTATTAAACAATTAAGGTTTAAAAAAAGCTTCATAAAATAAAAAGACTTAATGCCTAGGGATGATCGATTAAACAATTAAACAATTTAATAATGAATTAGTCTTATGATGGATAGATTATTATCTTGATAAAAGTTGTATGGTCATTACATTAATTGACAGGCGTCAAAGGAAATGCACTGAGGTCCAAAATCATAAAAAACATAAAATTTTAATAGCCTACATTAAATCATAGAAAAACTAAAGAAATTTTATAACATGATATCGAGATTAAGGTATTACGACCCTAATGGGCACTATAAGGAACTAAAAAATTGACATCATAGGTCAGATATATACCTTCAAGTACACCTGTATGCAAGATTTAAACAAAGTCTACCATACGGAAATCTACGGAAATCAAGTTATGGCCGCTTTTCTGAACTCAAGCTAGGATGTTATGGGGGCCCTTTTTTAGAAATGAGTAACCTTGAATTAATCTGCAATAACATTCTAATGAAACATGTTTTCCCATTAATTTTTGGTAAAAAACAAATAGTACCATTCAGCTAACAATCCACATAAGCAAAATTATGGTTTGTACTTAAAATTTATGAAATCTGTATAAAAATGTTACCCTACCCCACCCATTTTTACCACGTGTCCATTTTCCTACTTAGGGAGCCTAATTTAAAAATCCTTAAAATTTACCCAAATACATGTATATGCAAAAGATAATTGAGAATTTGTCTCAGAAATAAATTGAAATCGTATTGTTGGGCTATTCACAATCCGAATTGAGTGAAAATCGCTTTTCGATTTCGGTCATTTTTCACAATTGGAATAATAAGTCTGGAAAAACGGAGTAAACGAATTATCAATTTTTTTGCATAAAAGTTAATTTCTAGAAGTACATTAAATGGGACATTAATCTCGAAAAATTATTTCTAGTCCCTTTATATCAAGAAACCTCAGCAGTGTCCCTTTAACACAATATCTGATTGTTATTAATGCTCTGATTATCATTAGTTAAAGGCCCATTATGCCTCAGAAAAGTTATCATTTTCATTTCTCAAAAACTTTTAATTTTTGATATCGTTTTACAGTTTCCAAACATTATACTCATTTGCCATATACATAAACAATTTTTGCAACAAAATTTCTAAATCCCTAAGAGTATTGTTTATAATTGTCAATAAAGATACAACACCCACTTTCCAATTTACTATGGTGGCTGATTTTGGAACGCCTTTGTGCGTTGTGTCGTCGCTACCGACAGCTCGATAAAGCGCCAAACGGCGCGTTCTCGGACACTCGTCTTGTCGTCCTGTCGCTAACGGTGCACGCCGTGTTGTTGCAGTGTCGAATTGTCGCTCGGCTCAAATCGACAGATTGGCTTATAAGCCAAGCGACAGAGCGACATCGCGACAACGCGTCGTTTGGCGTGCTTCGCTAGCGACAAGACGATAAGACGACAGTGCGCCGTTTGTTGCGTTTCGCTAGCGACAAGACGAAAAAGCGATAACAATATAGTCTGTGTTGTCGCTATCGACAACGCAACGCGCAAAGTGTACCAAATCAGCCACCATAAATTTCGAATTATTATTCCAAATTAAAATGTGCAATACATATTGAACTGGTTTTACAATGTGCTTAAAATGT